GAGAGGAGCGAGAGAGTAGAGGTGTCGAGAGAGAGAGGAGAGAGTAGAAGAGAGAGGCACGAGAGAGAAAGAGAGAAGAGAGAGAGAGAGATGGACAGAGAGGAGAGGAGAGAGCTGTGTGTGTGTGTGTGTGTGTGTGTGTGTGTGTGTGTGTGTGTGTGTGTGTGTGTGTGTGTGTGTGTGTGTGTGTGTGTGTGTGTGTGTGTGTGTGTGTGTGTGCAGTGCCGGAGTGACTGTCGAAACACCGCATTTAAATGCGCACGTGTGTGAAAAAACGTGTGCTTGGTTGCGCGTCGTCTGCGAAGCACCGCATAGGTACGCAGATACGGCAACGTCACCGGCGATTACGTCAGAATGCGTCATCAGAACATTATAGCTACACTTGCCTACTATCTAATTTCATCGTTTCTAGAATACATTATCAATAGTCAAATCGCAATTCATAGTATAGTGCGCGCAATGATGCACGAAGACTATAATTTACTCAACATTATTGCATCTCTTCCCCGAAGAATAAATCAAATATTTAACATACACGTCTATATATCAAATGCGGCCTATGAAGCTAAGATTGTCGGATTAAGGCGCGATTTTAACTACAGGTGTGGTTATCCGCCAGGTGGCGACTTATCCGTAGTTGATAGAGAGGTTGGCGTTAAGCACACCGTACTTGTTACTGGCATTGCACTTGTATTTTCCGCCATCTGGTTTAGCCGGATCCTGCAAATAGAAATAAAAAATTAATATCGTACCGGTACATTACATTCTATTACCAGTACATTCGTACTAATTGGTACGCAGTGCATTGATCACCCACCCACTCACATGACCGCGTAAGAACGCACAGACGCGCACGTACGCACATCGGCACGCACACACGCAAACACGCACGCACGCACAGGCACAACATTTAATTCGTTAGATGGTCGGCTGTACATAGGTACAGGTGTCGGCTGCGAGGGAAACTGACAGATTCATTATGAACCCTGTCAAGTTTGTGACAAACATGTTATGATGCGTGTGTGTTAGCGCGAGTGATTGGCTTACTGCGGCACGTATATATATAAAAACACTATAGATTCTGACTGATTGAGCTAAGAGCTATACGCATACACATACACGCGCACACGAACACGCATACGCGCGCACGCACACGCGCACCAACGCGCACACACACATGCACACGTACTAGCCTGCCCTTTCTCGTGCGCACTCACACGCGCGCGCGCACACACACACACACACACACACACACACACACACACACACACACACACACACACACACCACAACACACACACACACACACACACACACACACACACACACACTACACACACACACACACACACACACACACACACACACACACACACACACACACACACACACACACACACACACACA